AAACGCTAAAATTTTAATGGTATTACTTGTGCATTATTGGCCTTATAATGTAATTTGTTGGAATTATATCTTCTTTAAATATAATTAGACTTTTTAACGACTTTTAAGTTACCTAGGAAAAAATCTGTGCACGTACCTACCAGTATTGTTACAGGTTAATTCGTGAAACAAATGTGTTACATATTATTCGTGGTATTAGTGGTATTATATTGGAATCAGCTTGGCATTAGTGGGGCATTATATGAGAAATTTGGTATTTAATTTGTATTTTTGGCATTACTTTGGCATTAGTATACAGACATTTGTCAGCGGTTTACTCCTTGTAGATAATCAAAAAGTTTTTTGATAAAATTTGCTTTTCATGTCAGATCATTTCTATGAAAAATTACATTAGATTTTTATTAAAGACGCTGGGTAATTAAAACATTGACTAATAAACCTTGTCCACTTTAAATACGGGGTCACGAAATATCCTCCTTGGAGTGTTTGGGTTAAGGGGTGTATAATAAATTAATCGTTGTTTTATAATAAAAACCATAAAACATTTATTTGTGAGTAAAATAATGCAATGGTTGGATATCTCTCCTTTATAATTCGGTGACTAAAAATACACTAAAATAATTAGAAAAAAAATCTTGTACTTATTTAGTAATTACGTCAATATTAATTAATTGACTTTCTAGTCTATTTTATTTTATGTACAAATATATTATTAAATTTTAAGCATTAAGTAATAAAACACTTTGTGCCCTCTTATATCGTAAAAGGTTACGAAATATACTCCTGGTTACACCCCTTACAGAAAACAGTGTAAGGGGTGTAAATAAATTGTATAATCACTGTTTTTTATAATAAAAACTATAAAATATTTCTTATTTGTGAGATTAAAAAAACAAAACAATGCATTGGTTAAAATAAGTACATTCAATACTGTTTTCAATTGTTAATTCAATAATGTGTTATAACATAATATAGCCATTACTATTATACTATTATTATTAAAATAATATGTGTGTAACATATTTCTTTAACGAATTAACCTGTAACAGACATTTATATGCCCAGTATATTTTTGTTTAACAAACCAATCAGGAAAAATCCAAAACCTACCGTTATAGGAGGTATAAGACGATTAAACTTATATAATGACAACTACTTATCGGATAACAAATTAATTACTACTGTCAGCTAGTTCAGCTACTGTCTAGGTAGAATATACCTAGAGTACCTACACCTACCTATGATGTAGGTAGATTAAAGCTTATTTTGACTTTACTTCTCACTTCGGTGTCACAAGCTGAATTTTTCAGGGATGGAAGTACAGTACATGATATGGGGACCCTTATTCCGAAAGTAGTACAAAATTAGACCGGGTAAAAGGGCACTATCATCAAAAATCGATATATTAATACCCGAAGTAGCAAAAAGAAATTCTAAAAGGATTGAATTATTTTATAACAGTCGAATAACGTTGTCTTAAGGACTGCTTGATTTTATTAATCGTTTGGTTTCGACCATTCTGTTTTTTAATAAAAGTTGTCATATTAAACTATTTTCTTGTGGTTTTTACAACGTATCCTATAACGCATTAAACGATAATTTCTTTTAGTATGATATAACACTTAATAAGACAATGCTATATGATAACAAACATATTATTTTATTAGACTCTTATACCCACCATGTAAGAGTTCTATAATATTTATTAGAACTAGTAGTCACAAGATCATATAATAGTTACTTAAACTTGTCTTATTAAAGTTGTATTACGTTGTATGATAGAACGTTTTATTGCGTTAAACTATGATGCTGTATACAACACAGTTATATAGCCTTATATGATAAAATTGTGATTAACAAAATAAATTCGCTGTAATATCTGCATTATAAAACTGGTAATGTATAATATAACCTCATTTTAATTTAAATGGTATACCTAGTTATTTATTTTGTTATTGTTGTTGTTGCAAAACTAATATCTACGTACGAGTATAATCAATCACAGCTATTATGAATTCTGGACAAAGTTGGAAAAAACTTAACAAACGCAGTGGTAGTTATAAAGAGCATGTAAGAAAAAACTCCTCGAAATTACGGCAAATAATCCCGAGAATTCCCTAGGTTCTCAAAAGCCAAAATCTCTCGGGTTGTCTGGCTTCTTCAAAGCATTGTGGCCACGTTGGTGTAAAAGTTTTACTATAGTAATGTTTGTATTGTTTTATTGTTGTTTTTCCAAGTCCTTAGTTTGCTGCTCACTCGTCGGGCACGCATGAAATGCATTGCGTGCATGAATCCATGAAAATCTGATCATGTTTGTTAGTTTAAATACTAATCAAATGAGATTTGGCAACATCTATTTGTCACAAATCTCAATATGTCCAAAATAGTTCTATAGTGCCCGGAAATTCTGCGTAATGAGAGATATTTATCCTATACCGTTTTATTTTACAACAAAGACTTATTTAAGGGATTCATTTATAATAAAATGGTTGCATTATAATTCGCCATGTTTAAGGTAGAATTTTTGTATGGCCTATGGCCGCCATTATATGAAGCAAAATTAAAAACATCAAAATACATTGTAAAATGTTATTTTTGAGAACTATTTTGTGATAAGATTCCCACATACAGTAATAAAGTGTTTAATTAAATTAAAAACAGAATTTTGAAAATTTAATTTTATTTTATTGTTTAAATTTATATGTAAACCTTAATCGAAATTAAAGCGCTTTTAATTTTTGCCAAATACATACCTATAATCTACCAGTAAAATTTTCGGCACAACAAAAATTTTCCCTACTTTTCAAACCCTATTAATGATTTTTTATATTACATATTTGTTGTACCTTCTGGCTCTACCCGCCATTTTCATTGTCGAGTAAAGTCTCCTTTTTAACAATTCACATCCTCTAGATTCATTTTACGACACGCTTAAAATATAATTTGCTCCTAATATTCTTCGGTAAAAAATAAAATACTCTTGTACCTCGCTAAATGATCAAATGTTTTTATTGTTCTGTTTCTTAGATGTGACCACGTAATACACAATAAAACTAGTTTTATAATAGTTATATAATGCTGTGTAAAATAGTTGCATAAGCGTTGTATACCCTTTTTATAGAACTTCTATACTACTAAACGGTTGTATAAAAATGGGCCTTTTTTGGTTGTAAAGCTATCATATTACGGTCATATAGCACGTTATATGAATTGAGGTATCCTATAAAAATTATCACATAGCTGTTTATACAACCTTTATAAAATAAAATTTGCTACTTGGGACCACCGTATAGAGAAAACAAATACTTATTTTTTGATCCAGTACACAATAAAGTCTTCGTAGGGAGTAATTTTTATAATTATTTACAAAAAAACATTTCCATTAGCGCTTATGACCAAAAAAAACTTTAAACCTGCATAATCATTTCAATCATGCGAAAATTTGGTTTAAAATAGATTTTTTTTTAATATAACTTTCATTTAACGAAAAACGAAGGCCTAAATGAAAAAAAGAAACAATTTAAAAGTTTCGCTTATGTCTTGACAAGGTATCAAAGCAAACCCCATATTTTTTGCTTTTAAACTAATAAAGATATATCAATAAACAATTAGAGATGTAATGGTTTTTGCGCGCGCTGGCCGACTGCCGCCGCTGCGCCGAGATTTCCTATACCCTTGTATAGGTATATGACGTCATGTGTGGCAAATGTAGCATTTTAATTCAATTTGGGCTCCCTTATATAGGATAACAGAAACATTTTCAATGTTAAAAATAATTTTAACGCCTAAAATGCATGAAGCATTAAAGTATAATATAGAGTATGATATATAATTACATACAAGACTTTTTTTATTATTTGGAACGTTTGAAGTAGTTTAAAAAAATATATGTGGCGTTTGAAAAAATAGCATGTATTATGATGTAAAATAAAATAGCATTATTATCAACGTAAAGCCTCGTCACAAAAAAGGTCATTTTTACTCCAAATAAAACAGTATACTATTATTAATAATAAAAACAGTTAGACTCGTCGATAATAGAACCCCATGAGTCAGCAGCTGATGGAAGTGGGAATAGTGATGGAAGTCAAAACTGTACTCAATATATATCGATATTCATCAATAATTTCACACAAAACAAAATATTTTTTTTGGATTTGTGACTATCTATTATTGATATTTACATAAATATCATAAAGCAGTTTTTACATTAATTTATTTACATTAATTATTATTGAAGAAAACTCTTTCATGTTTTGGGCTATAATGATACCCAACCGTATCTTTAATGGAAAATGTAAGTTTTGGTGGACTATATTTTACAAATCTTTTTCTTAATGAAAAATAAGGATAAGCCCGTGGTTACATTGGATGCGTGTCGGTACGTTTTTTTGGTCGTACGTGCTCGGATATGCACGCATCAAAAAACAAACAAATGGTATCTACGCAGGCGGTTACAATTGCATCGGAGTTTGCGCGTCCGTGCACTTACGTCAATTTCCGTTGGTCGGATGAAAACAAACTGGTTTGTTTTTTTAATACGTGCACGTCCGAGCCTTCCAATTTTTATATTTCTGGGCCCAATACATTCCCTAAAAACTTGAATATTTTTGAATACCAAGGTTTATTTTTATTTTAGATATATTAATGTTGCTGGAAACATTCTAAAATATTCAAAAAATTTGACCGGTTGCTGTTTTAATTCACCAAATATTTTACATATTCATTTTCTTCCCCTTTTCTTGCATATAAATCATTTACCTAACATTCTCTTCTGTTCATAAGTAGTTATTTGAACATTAAATCCTCAGACAGGATCAAAGTAGTGGCGTCCGTTTTGACAAACTCGACACACAGGACACCATAAACGCGCATCTAATGTAACCACTATAATAAAATAGTCGTACGAATAAATACCGTCAGAGCTCGCACGTATAAAAAAACGCACGGACCCGCGTCCAATGTAACCGCGGGCTAATACTGATTAAATACACTTTTAGGCCACAGACACTACCGGAAACGCATTGACTTTTACTTTTACATTATTGGGAATGCATCCAGAAATTCAGGTAATTTTAAAAAACCAACAGATGTTTGGGGTAGGTATTTCATTTTGATTATAATTTTTTATTAAAGCAAAAAGTATACGAAGAGGTAATAACGGAGATTGGCCGTGATGCACCTATTGAAACAGATCACTTACCAAAATTGAAATATACTGAGAGAGTTATATCCGAAAGTATGAGGTTGCTTCCGCCCGTGCCTATGATTGGCAGATATCTTAATAAGGACATTCAAATTGGTAAGCAGTGTTCTTTTATATAAAAGTTACACACATTTCAAATTTCTATAGCGTTAACACTTTTTGGTATTGCAGTAAAACTACAGAATGATCAACATTGATTAAAAAGCTGGCTATTCTGATTTTGCTGGTTTGGGTGGCAATAGATTTGAGAAATTGAAATATTTATTGGCTGTTATCATTAAGCTTCATTCAGAACCTCGCAATTAGTGGAATAAATTAGAGGTTTCAATTACACTTTATACTTTTTGGTTTACGATCATTCACAATGTTTAAAAACACAATTAAAATTAATAAAATATCCTAGCAACAGCTTGCGGTAATCAGTTGCATCCATAGAGAAATTTTAATATAATTAGAGTGGAAAAGTTGAAAGTTTGGCAACTTATTTACAGGGTGAGTTTTCTACGATGTTCTCAATGGGTATCTCGGAAACTATTGAAGATAGAGAGTCGGTTAAATGGGGATAGAATTGCAGCCTTGTGGGGTTATAAATATGCGCTTTTTAGATTTTTGAAAAAATTCTTGGCTTACTAGATATTTCGAAAAAAACAAATTTCGGCTATTTTAAAAATTGGTCCTAATTCCATTATAATCTATTTTAGACAAAAAGTTTGCACTTAGAAGTTGTAGATAATCATATTCTTAATGAGATTGTTTCCTCTGTTTTTCAGTGGCGGCTCGTCAGGGTAGGCGATTTATTACATTACATTATTTACTATTAATGTTGCCAATACATAAAAATACTGTTAATACACGGAAGTGTGTTTTAATAATCAATATTGTTTTAATATTTGTGGTCTTGTATATTAACATATTCACTACCGCTAACGTACGCTGACCGCTGACTGTGCCGCTGCGTTAGAAACAGACCGGTGAAACTCTTACGGGATTTCTTTGGTCGGATAAAATGTTGCATGGGTCTTCGACTAGATTTTACTTAAAATTATTTTTATTTATAAATTTAACTAATATCCCAGAAAAATATGAGAAAAGCTTTATTTTTAATAGTAGTTATTGCTAATATTTTTTTTTAGATTGGTAAAGAAAATTATCAATTTTTATGTTTTTTGTATATATAGAAATTTGACATATGTCAAAATAGTCAATAAGTGACACTTACCTAAATTGTTTTTCAGTTTTTCTTTGTTTATAAAATGTTTATAAACTTTATGGGGTTATTTATAATGCATTCGTGTTGTGGTTGTCTTTTTCCCTCAAAAGGACCGTTTTACAAAGTTCCCGATTATAAAGCAGACTGATTTGTTTGTAGCGTAAGTTAAAGCCTTGTTTATAAAGCTAGTGATAATTCAGAATTTATAAATGGAAATCTTCAAAATATTTTCCAAAATGCTACAATATGTGCAGTACATTTTGAAGCAGACGACTTAATAAACATTTGGAAGAAGATAAAACAAAACAAAATAAAAACACTAAATCACCACAATACACCAAAACACTTTTACTTTTACACTGGACGCGCGTTTCGCTAACCATGTTAGCATCATCAGCAGATGATTATAAACTAAAGTACAATCTACAAGGTGAGCGTTTATATACTCGCTCAGTGGGCCCCAGTGGGCGTGGCAAAATCTAGCCAACCGAGTCAGAGCCAACTGAGCGTAATAGTAGATTTCGCCACTAGAGTAGTAGGAACAAAGAACTTGAAGGGAATTGGACCGTTGACTCTGTTCATACTATCTTTACATTTATTAATTCTGATGCTTTCATATGCATCTAATTGCCTGTAATTTGAGACTTGTTTAATTAATTTTAAATTATTAAGATCTATACAATGTCCATTATCAACAATATGTTCGGCAACGCAAGATTTATCCGGTCTACCATATCTTATCTGAGCTAAATGTTCTTTAAATCTAGTTAATATTGATCTTCTAGTTTGCCCAACATATTTCTGATTACAATCTTTACAAGAAATTTCGGGTAAATACCCGACCTTTCCAGTAAAGATTGTAATCAGAAATATGTTGGGCAAACTAGAAGATCAATATTAATCTAGATTTAAAGAACATTTAGCTCAGATATGCGTTGCCGAACATATTGTTGATAATGGACATTGTATAGATCTTAATAATTTAAAATTAATTAAACAAGCCTCAAATTACAGGCAATTAGATGCATATGAAAGCATCAGAATTAATAAATGTAAAGATAGTATGAACAGAGTCAACGGTCCAATTCCTTCAAGTTCTTTTGTTCCTACTACTCTAGTGGCGGAAATTCTAACTGTTACGCTCAGTTGGCTCTGACTCGGTTGGCTAGATTTTGCCACGCCCACTCCTCAGGGGCCCACTGAGCGAGTATATAAACGCTCACCTTGTAGATTGTACTTTAGTTTATAATCATCTGCTGATGATGCTAACATGGTTAGCGAAACGCGCGTCCAGTGTAAAAGTAAAAGTGTTTTGGTGTATTGTGGTGATTTAGTGTTTTTATTTTGCTGTGTAACACCAAAGGTTCCAACCCTCAACTGTAATCTAAGAAGATAAAAACTTGTATTCCTCATATTAATGCCTGGTAAGTACACAACATTAAAAATATGTATTGCCGTATTGCTGGATTCAGGCTTTAGTTGAAGATAGGCTTAGTACTTTATTCAGAATTCTGAAGTAGCGGATTAAATATTAATATTTATATTACAGGAAAATAGTCCTATTGCTTAAAAAATTTTTGTAGGGTTGTATCAAATTTAATACCTATGATGATGACACATTAAAGCATGACTTCAACAAAACCTTACATATATACATATTGATATGTACACACATAAATATATTGTATGACAAAAAAAACTGCGTCAAGTAGTCTTAGAAATGAATATTGATGAATATATCATTCTCCAGTAAGTTATAACTAATATATGCTTTTGTTTTTACAGTGCCTCTTGAAATTGTAGACTAGATTACAATGAAGACAGTCGAGAGAATCAGTCGAAACAACCACTCAATAGTGTTGATTCAAGACCATCCTTAAATTAACTATCTGTATGTAAAACAAAAACAATATCGAACAACAGGAACATAGGAAATGAAGTTGTATTTTGTAAATACTTTGTGTTTTATTTACTTCGCATCCCACCTTCGCATATTGAATGTATCAAAACTTATCAGTTCAGCATATGCAGATTGTCAATTTGACTTCTGCATATGCTGAATTAATAAGCTTGGATACATTTAATAATAATTATAAAAAATATGGTAATATTTAAATATCCCGCCCTGAAAATTAAATAATAGTTGATAGGTCTCAGGATAGACGGCGCCACAAAACCGTCGAAAATTTTTGTAAGGAGGTTTCAATTCTATCTTTTTTTCTATGGTTAGAAAACAAAATAATTTTGACCGTTGGAGTGCCTTTGTTTGGCGATTTCTACATCGCCTACTATCAGAGTCGATGCACGACGTACGGCAGTCTTCTGTCTCTATCTAACTCGTCGTGCGGTAGCGACGCGACGTAAGTCGGAGTTGTATCGTATTAAGGCGGGGCTTAGGCGAAATCTCCGGTCGCCTTCGCATCAAGTCGTGGAGGCTCGGTAGGCTGAGAAGTTAAGAGGATATTTCCGATATTTCATAACGAGATATATCACATTCCGTTAAGGGGATATTTCGTATGATTTATTATACGTAGTAGCATGTAAAACTTTTATATGAAAATTCAAAAAACGTTTATTTAAAAACGTTATTTTATTCGGTGCAAGAAGAACGATACAACAGATATTACAGAAAAGTCTCTGTGCTATTTCAATTCGATATGTTAATAAAAGCGGCTAAGTCAAATATCTTTGCGAATTTTATTTTTATGAAATATTAGATAACTTTGTTATACATTTAGAAATAAGATTTGCAGATTAGTACTAGTATGTCACAATTATTTTTATTTATCTCTTGCGGATCTGAAATTTAAAGAATCCTATAAAAAAATTTCGACGCATTTAACATCTGATTTAACAAACTTGTTATATTGATACATTTCCAACTTTCAACGCATTTAATAGTGATTTAACAGACAAAAAATGTTATTGACCAACATAAATTATTGAATAAATTGCAGGTATTAATAATAGATATAATAATTTCGATTATAAAATAATTTAAGGAGAATAATCCTGGAGATGTATTTCCAGAAGCTTTCGAATTGTTTGTTTTGTTTGTTACTAATTTAAATTGTTTGTTTGGTTTGTTAGAAAGTTACTTTCCTATTATAAAATAAATAAATGCATTTATTGTCAAAAAATTTTTCAATTTATAGACAAAGGTAAACAAACAAACAAAGTAAAAAAAACAATGTACACAAACAAACAAACAAAAGATAATACAAAACATTATACAAATAATATTGTCAGCTTATTGTTAAAATAAACATTTATAAATGTTTAAAATGTCAAAGAACAAAAAAATAAAAATAATATTCAAAAATATTTAGCTAGTTTATAGTAAAATATCAATGACCTCTAAATAAATTCATTTCGATGTCATTAGTAAATATAGCAATAATAGCAAATATTAGACCAGTGTTTAAAAGATCAAATTCGATTTTCAAAATATAATTCATTTACGGCGTAGAAAGCCTTGTCTAGTAAATAAGAGTTCAATGCTTTGCGAAATGAAAAAAATGATGTTATGGATTTGATTTCAAATGGCAGGTGATTGTGCATTTTTTTCGCGTTGTGTAATATTGAACTTTTAACTAACTCTAAGCGTGGGGTAGGTAGATAAAGATCTTGCTCCGCGTTCCTGAGTGGATAAGTGTGAGATGGCCTTTCTTGAGAAGCTGATACATGTTTACATATTAGGCAAACGGATTCAAATATAAATAAGGAAGGAAGAGTCAATATTTTTAATTTTTTAAAAAAGTCCCGGCAATGAGTTCTGCTGTTTAGTCCCAGTAAATATCGAACAGCTCTCTTCTGGAGCTTGAAAATGCGGTCAAATTGAGTCGCACAACACGTACCTCAGAATGGAAGGGCATACCTGAGGTGCGACTCAAAAAGTGCATAATAATGAGTTCTAGCCACTGACAAGTTAAGCTCCTTAGAAACAGGCCTTAATGAAAAACAGGCAGAGCTCAATTTTTTCGACAAAGCTTCGATATGTATGTCCCATTTCAGAGAATTGTCCACAACAAGCCCTAAGAATTTTACAGATTTTACGACGTCAATGGTGGTGTTGTTAAGTACAAAAGGCTGCAACGAGTTTTTATACGACAAAGCTTTAGTTTTAGAAATGTTGAGACTCAGGAGGTTCGAATCGCACCAAGATTTAATGGTGATTAAGTCATTTGATATAATCCTATGAAGTGCCGTGAAGTTGCACTGTGAAGTGCCATGAAGTGCCGTGAAGTTGCCTTCACTTGTTGCTCCAAGTGAAGCTAGTGTCGTCCGCAAAAAGACATATTTTGCCACTGATGTTTATGTTAGCAATGTCGTTAATAAAAAGAAGAAACAAAATAGGGCCTAGTACTGAGCCTTGTGGTACTCCACATTCTATTGGTTTGCTAGAAGACAACATGGTACCCACCCTCACAAGTTGACTTCTGTTGCTCAGATACGACTTAAACCATTCGAGAGATGAGATTGATGAGATGAGATATATTAAGAGACCGACTCATCAATTTATTATATAAAACATAATTATTCTTTATCTCAATACTACCAATTTTTAAGTTTGCGTAAATAAATAAAATAAAATTATATGATGTACTCCATAGTGACTCCATAGTAATAGATAAAAAAAACTAATAGATAAAATAGATTAATAAAAACTATACTTGTACATAATGTCAATCATTATGTCATTACGTTGAATGCTGTTATTTTTGCTTTAGTTTTGTCCTAAATATTTTTGAGCTATGTTTTTAACCCAGAGATAACATATATTTACAAACTGAGCTAGGGTATTATGTAAATTAGGGGGCAAATAGACGCAACTAAAATTTTGTCGCCTACCCAGTCACACGGGTCTCGAGCCGCCACTGCTGTTTTTTTTGTGAAGCCTGTCATTTTCGACATATACATATATGACACAAACATATGTTTTTTTAAATGGAAACCATAGTTGGTTCATAAAAAACGCAATTTTTTAAACTTTTCAGCAATTTAAGCTATAATATGTTTCTTTCGAATTTCTTCAAAAATTTCTAAGTTATAATAAATGATATATCATTTTTAAACAATTCCACTTATGGTCTAAGAGCTGGCTACATAAAAAACCTTGTCATCGTTACATGGCTAATTCTTTATGAAGCCATTATGAAATAGTCATGAGCCATTATGAAATAGTCATGTCTGCCAGCGCGATCCCGGGGCTTAAAGCGGGGGCGGCCAATCGAAAGGGTGAAATTTTGACACTAAAAATATTATAAGATACATGAGTTATAATTGCGAAAATAGCCTTTATTTATTATTAAGAAACGTGGAAAACTGTTGGCAGACATTTTTCTAGTCGCTAAAATGCCGACAGATAACGCGAAAGAGGCCATGAAATTTTAAAAATTATTAAAAAATGACATTTGAAGAATGAAAAAAATTATGGCATATTTGTATGCCGATGGGTGAAATGTCATATTTATGTATTTTAAAAGCCGTATGCAAAAGAGCAGACAAAAAGACCGTGGCTCAATCAGCTGCAGACAGTTATCAAAAGCGCCATATTACTCTAGCGCTTTATTCAGGGAACGCTGGCCGCCTCATCCATTTCCAAGTATACATAGATAAATCATATAATATACGATTATATTATAAATATATTTTTTTTTATTATTTTAATAACGATTTTTTTGTCTGCCCTTTTGCATACGGCTTTTTAAATTAATTAACAATAAACATGACATTTACCAACCGACATGCATGTATGCAATGGTTTTTTTTGTCAAAATTCTATGCCTCTTTCGCGTTGTCTGCCGGCATTTCAGCCACGAGAAAAATGTCTGTCAAACAATTTTACACGTTTCCTAATAATAAATAAAAGCTATTTGGCAATTATAACTTGTGTACCTTATAATATTTTTAGTGTCAAAATTTCACCCTTTTGATTAGCCGCACCCGCTTTAAGCCCAGAGATCGCGCTGGCAGACATGACTATTTCACAATGGCTACAGAAAAGGATACTTCACACAAAAAATTAGCCATGTAACGATGATCAGGTTTTTTATGTAGCCAGCTCTCGGTCTATTAGTTAGGAACAAGTTCAGTCGTCGCGTCGTTGCTATCAGAAATGTGAAACTGTGACATCCAAACTTTGTAAATTAAAATACACAAAAATTGTAAATATGAATTTTTTAAATGAAGAAATGCGTGTAGGATTATTGGTTCAACTTTTCTTGGCCATATATTTTAGAGGATACGTTGACCGGTGAACGTTACTTAGGTTTTTTAGACAAGTTAGAAAAGTTAAATTTAGACTCGCGCATTAATAGAGTGGTTACGGAAGAAGTTTAATAAAGTCGATCGGTCGTTCTGTGAGAATAGCTAGTAATTTAGTTTTAAAAAGATGCATTTATGTACTCAAAACAATGGCGGATTCTTGAACATTTTCGAAAATAACTTGAAGTGTATATGTAGTGATATTATTTTTTTAACTTTTAGTTTGTGTAATTTAAATTATTGTAATGAACCGTTTAGTAATATATTCTGTCTTTTTATAAGTTAAAAATCATAGCAGAATAAGAATACCATACCAACTAAGTGAAATTAGCCAAGGAAGATAAGAATTGGCTATAATTCAGTAATTTTTCAAAAAAAACATATTATAGCTTATATCGCTGAAAGGTTTAAAAAATGGCGCTTTTTATGGAGTCATGGCTAACTATGGTTTCCATTAAAAAAAAACATATATTTGTGTCATATGTCAAAAATGGCAGGCTTTAGAAAAAATCGAAGAACACAACACATTAGGGATGAGTAATCTCACTCTTAACCGATCCTCTATCTCCAGTAGTTTCCGAGATACCGATATAGAGAATATCGTATAAAACTCACCCTGTCATTCCATTTCTACTAATTGAAAATGTCTACCACTAATTTTGATGTTCGGAATGCTTACATCGAAATTAAAGGAACAAACTTCTACTCTTAAAGCTTCGTTCAGAACCTCGCAATTAATGGAATAAATTAGTGGTTTCAATTAGCGTATAAGTTTCTTCCTCAAATTTGATGTAGGGATTCAGAGCGTCAAAATTAGTGGTAGGTATTTTCAATTAGTGGAAAAAGTTAACAAACATTTGACTTTTCCACTAACTATACTTCAAAATTTGCGATAAATGTCATTTTGGCCTTTAATTATCTTCCGTCAAGAGAAAATGTGGTTAGAAATCAAAAGTCGACTGTTTTATAAGCTAAATATTAGGCTCTCTCTATGGATACAACTGAATACCGCAAGCTGTTGCTAGGATATTCTATTAATTTTAATTGTCTTTTTTAGACATTGTGAATAATCGTAAACTAAAAAGTATAAAGTGTAATTGAAACCACTAACTTATATTTAAATAGCGTGTATACGAAAAATTTATTATATATAATTATTCTGATATAATTTGGCTATAATCAATAATTTGTTTAAGCGTCAACACCAACCACTAATTCTAAAATTCTCAAATAAAGTATTGCCAACTATTTCAATTATTATGGATCACTACGTATATTTTTAGGAGACAAAATATTTCCTAAAGGAGCTAATATAGTGGCCTATACTCTTGTTCTTCACCACAACAGCAAATATTGGCCGAATCCAAAGAAGTTCGACCCAGACAGGTTTCTACCAGAAGAAATCGCTAAGAGACCGCCATCTTGCTACATACCGTTTTCAGAGGGGCCAAGGAATTGTATAGGTGACTATCCCCCATATCTCGCGCTATACACTATCATATCACCATCAGTCTATCATCATCATGTGATAAAAATCATCAAAATTGGTCTACTTGAACAAAATATATCGAACTGTATTTTAAATACATGAAAATTTTAAGATGCCCATTTTTAGTTCCTGTCAGTGTATATTAAAAACAAATCTATTCGTTTTCATAATAATGTTATTAGAGTAAGATCCCAGAGCTATCAGACATAACTTATTTTCATAAGGATGAAACCTTAGGCTCTCAGTAGTGGTCTCGTGTGCTTTGAACACCGGCGTGTTTGTGGGGTTCGCCCTGTGACACCTTGGCAAATACCATGTGAGAAAGGTGACTAAAAGAAATAAATGGACTTTACTTATTTTTACGACAAGTAAACGTCTCTAGAAGAGGCTATACTGGACGAAGTAGTGGCGATCGGATCGCGACACAACGATCTACAAAATGTGGGTCAGCTACGTTTTGCGGGGATACCCTTTTGGGTGGGCATGATCCTCATAGATTGTGTATCTCAAGAATCGGCGAATCGGTTGGTGGAAATCGCACCTAAACTTAAAAATTGGCAGGGGCTGGAACTGGTTGCAGTGAAGGGAGAAAACATCTCTAAAGGGGCGGCCATCACGGTCTTTCTGCCGAGGAGCGAGGGGAAAGACACCACCTACCTGCTGAGCCTTATCCAGGGTCTGAACTTCAATGTAAGGATATCGAGTTGGCGAGTCATCAACTCGAGGGAGGAGGGTCATGGTCAGGTCCTCACAACAGGAATTGACCTCAATTCAAGGAGACAATAGGGAAAGAGGGACATATCCTCTATTATAGATACGGTACAACACTGGTATCAGGACTAAGGAGAGACCAAGTTAAAGAGTGTTCTCGCCTTCGTCGTCTTTGGGGGTGTTTTAATTAAAGGGAGAAACTATTTTTTAAAGGTTTTGTATTTGCCTGAATCCTTTTACAACCTGCATCTTTGAGATCACAATCGAAAGAGAGCGAATTTCTAATTTCTTTTTCGAGACTATCCATAATCCTTCGAAGTTGTGACACTTCGTTCCGGTATCTTTGGTTGCATAACCAAGAAGCATACCATTTAAATTTAAAACCAAATTTAAAATTATTGAATACTACAACACTCCCCCCTGGCAAAAAGTGTCACAATTTCGTTTTTTTAACACAATACAAAAACAGTATGGATAAGCCATTAAATAACTTAATTATTGTCAAGTACAACACATTTGTAGCAACTTATTAAAGTAACAAAACTAAGAAATGCAAATAGATCTAAAGAAATAAACAGAAAATTATATTTTTCATTTACTTAACTAAAATCTTAAAACTAATAGGAGCAACTTCACATACATTATGGAATAAATGACCGACAATTATTTAATTCGGTTCACAATTTCACTTACGGGCAACAACGGCACACGCGACGTTTCACTACACGGCGGGGGCGTTGATTTGAAGTTTCGTTGGTTACGGGCACGGCAGGAACAAACGTTGGGGTTGGACTAAAGTTGGGGATCGTAGGCATGGTGGTGTCTGAACATTCACTTTTCAGTGTATTGTCCGGCAACTCAGCAGCAAGGTCAGGATCGGCTTCAGAATCTGAATACGACAGACTGTCAGTATATTCAGATATGGAATGGGCATCTCTGGAACTTCCAAGAGGGTCAGTAAACTCATCCGAGCTTACCAAAGAAACATTATCGCTGGCCAAATGGATAGTAGGGGCGCCTACACTAGTACTGTGTAGGCGCAGTGTCTTCTTAACTGAGTCGGAACGAGACGGGATAAACTGGTCCACTTCCAGCTCTACCTCGTTAGGGCAACTCGTTTCGTGAGGATGGGATACTATGGCTACAGCTTCTTCATTCCCTGGAGCAGGTCTAAGGTCATCAACATGAAGTCGATAGGGTTTTCCATCTCGCTCTACATCGTAAACTTCTTTACTTATCAAGGCTAACACTTTGTGCGGTCCAGACCACACTGGATCAAACGGATGTTTGAACTGTCGATTGTCGCGTACCATGACAAGGTCGCCTTTTTTGAAAGAAGGTGGAGGTTTAATGGGTTCAGTTGTATACTTGGCTTGGTAGTGTTGTTGGTGCTGTCTGATTTCTTCATGACTTTGGCTCAAGTCACTTATCGGATTCTTGGTTGGTTGAAGACTTACAGGTAGGTTCCAGTCTCCTGGACGTGGTAATTCATATCCTAGTAGACATTTACTAGGAGTGGTATTAATGGCTGCATTTTTTCTTGTTCGTAAAATAAACAAAGCTCGTCCAATGTACTGTTGCCACTTATTCTTTGGCTGGTCTGCAAGGAGTGTTCTTATGATTTTCTTGAGTTCTTGGTTACGTCTCTCAACTGGGTTAGCTCTAGCATGATATATTGGACTATACTTCAACTGGATTTTATATTTTCGGGCCATTTTAGTATAAAGTTTAGAAATAAATTGTGGGCCATTGTCAGAAACGATAGTCTGGGGAGTACCAAAACGATAGAATATCTCATTTTCTAAATACCTGTTGGCCAGTTACTTGCTTAAAAGTCTTGGCTTCAACCCATTTACTGAAAATATCTTCTACAACCAGTATATATTGATGGCCATACGTAGATGGAGGATATGGTCCCATAATATCTAGCACTAATTTCTTGCCAAGGACGTTGTGGTCTATGTGGTCTCAATGGTGCACTGGTCTGCGGCATGGTTTTCATGGATATACACACAAGACACTTCTTGATGTACTGGCCCACAATCTTATTCATATTTTTAAAATAGAATTTATCGAATATACATCTAATTGTCTCATCTCTCCCAGGGTGAGCTTTATCTGCATGATTATGATAATGAGACATTACCTTGGACCAGCTGATTCTTGGAACCACCAATTTATCACCTAAAGGATGTCTTCTCCAAAGAAGTCCATTATTGACATAAAATGTATTTAAGAATGTTTGTTCTCTTCGGGATTGAGGGCCATTTGCTGTGATATTTCGCAACTTGGTAATATTTTTATGGATTTCTTGGGAGGTACCCTGATCTCCAGTGATTTCTTCAAATAAGTCGATAGAAGTAGGAATATTATTTGACGCTAAGGATGTAATGTGACCTCTATTCTCAAAACTAGGAATGCAGAATTTGTCCTCCGGTTCTTCCAGGTCATGCTTTCCTTCAGGATGTCTTGATAACAAATCAGGTAATTCATTGTCTTTTCCAGGGACATGTTCTATGGAAAAAGAAAACTCTTGTAACAGCAAAGACCATCGAGTTAACTTTGTCTTGGCATCTTTATTTTTTTCTAACCATAATAAAGATCGGTTGTCGGTTCGTAACAAAAAAGGTCTATCTTGCAGGTAATGACTATATCTTTTTATAGCCTATACTATACAAAGACATTCCTTTTCATTGACATGATAATAAGACTCAGTTTTTGAAAATGTAGCACTGGCGTAAGAGACAATTCTTTTAGATTTATTCGGGTCCTCCTGATATAAGACACATCCCATACCTTTATCACTAGCGTCAGTTTGTAATACGAAAATTTCATTAAAATTTGGCCGGTGTAAAACTAAAGGTTTGCCAACAAGGCTTTTTATTTTGTTAAAAGCTACATCCTGCTCTTCTGTCCATCTGAATCTAACATTTTTCTGTAATAGTCTTGTTAATGGTGAGGTGATATCTAAGAGATTCGGTATAAATTCGCGTACCCAGTTACAAGTACCAAGAAAAGCTTGTAATTGTTTTTTATTTTTTGGTATTGAAAAATTTAAAATTCCTTTAATTTGTTTAGTTTGTGGAGTATTCGTATCTTTTTCTATACGGTAACCCAAATAGTTAATGCTTGAAGAGGCAATCTGACATTTAGCTGGTAAAACATGTAAATTGTGAAGCCGTAATCGTTCTAAAACTAACCGTAAATGTTTTTTATGCAATTCAAAATTTGGACTATAAATGATAATATCGTCTAAGTAGACCATTACAAATTTCTGGAAATAACCAGATAGAACTTCTTGTGTCATTAATCTTTGGAATGTACAAGGCGCATTTTTAAGCCCAAAAGGCATCACATTAAAATGATAAAGATGCCCCTCTGGTGTACAAAAAGCTGTATATTTCTTTGAGTCATCAGATAATGGCACCTGCCAATATCCACTTTTTAGATCGATTACAGTAAATATTTTTGCGTCACCTAGATCTTTCATCGTATCTGTGATTTTTGGCAAGTTTGAAGGTTCATCTATGGTTATATTATTTAAAGCTCGAAAATCTATACAAAATCGCGGTTGGGTACCTGGCTTATCTACTAATACTATTGGTGACGAGTACTCACTATTACTCGGTTCTATAACGCTAGCTTGTAATATCTGTTGGATCTGTTCATAAAGTACTGCTTTATTTTTTGGAGAGACTCTATACGGTTTCTGTTGTATTATTTTGTTTTCTTTTAATCTAATAGAGTGTTTTGTGGTAGACGTAGTAGGTTGTAAATTATTAATAGAAAAAAGTTCACTAAATTCTTGAAAAAGGGGATAAAGATCTAATTTATATTGCTATGGAATTTCTAAATCATCTGGAAGATCAAATGAATGTTTTGACATATTACAATTTTGTCGAAAATAAAATGTTGCAACCCCTGCATATATACATTTTCTACCATAATCTATAACTACTTTATTTTGTTCTAGAATAGGAGCCCCCAATATTATTTCTTCTTCTAACTCAGAAAGAATTTGAAAATTACAATTAAATTTCGTATTTTCTATAGAAAATTGTTGAGAAACTGACCCAAAACTAGTGATTTTTGAATACCCACACGCAAACAAAACACTCTGTGGTGTCTCTTCTTGCAAAACACTTGAATACTTAGAAGGAATTACCGAAGTACGAATAAAATTACTGGCAGATCCCGAATCAATCAGAGCATTCACGATTTTATCAAAAATCTTAATTTGGACATGAGGTAACTGTTGAGCAGGATGAAAAGTTGAGTTAATTACTGAAATTACTGAAGAATTTTTTTTATTTTGCATTAAAAAGTTAATTTTGTCTACGATTTCTTTTAAAATATGAGTGTGACTTTTTACTACTGACGTTAGTGAGGAAAGGGATGTACTTACTGCCTGTTCTGTCGTTGTTGGGCTGGAGTCTGCTGGGAGGATTGATTGCCACTCACAGCCCTCTGTCGGTTTCCCGTAACATATGGATTTCTAGGGCAATCTCTATGAAAATGGTTATCTCCACAAAACCTACATGGATGAGGTATATTTTTGGTCAATGTTGTGCTCCTATTTGTAACCTTTTTTGTCTCTGCCATGTCACTCTCTACTTGCCCTGCCACTCGAGTTAAGTCTTTCAAATTTACCATATCTTTTGGCGTCTCCCGTTAAATGTTCCACCATGACTTCAACCTTTTGTAAATCCTGGTAAATTTTTTGATCATGAAAATGTTGGTTGATACTTCTTATAAACTCTATGGGGTCTTCGTAATATCTCCCAGAAAAGGTTATTAAAAATCTGCTTGAAGCCGACTCCTTTGACTTAAAGGAATCTACCACTTCTTTAAAAGATGACACCAATGCTTGTGATAAATTAATAACATCTCTAGACTTCATTTTCGTGTGTATTAGGATTCGGGAAATTGTCTAACGTCCGATTGATAGCGTCAGAATCGTCAGAATTATTCTCCTCATCGCCATTTGCCAACATCCCTGTCCTGTCCAAAGTCATCCAAAAATTTTTTCGTGCCGCCATTTTGTCCATCATCAGCTTCGCCTTCCCCAAGCCAAGTTAACTTTTCTTATTACTAGTTTTTTCTACTAACCTCGCTAATAATTCCACCAACTATCAATCAGCCTCGCGTTGGGCGCCATGTTCACGCCTTCGTCGTCTTTGGGGGTGTTTTAATTAAAGGGAGAAACTATTTTTTAAAGGTTTTGTATTTGCCTGAATCCTTTTACAACCTGCATCTTTGAGATCACAATCGAAAGAGAGCGAATTTCTAATTTCTTTTTCGGGACTACCCATAATCCTTCGAAGTTGTGACACTTCGTTCCGGTATCTTTGGTTGCATAACCAAGAAGCATACCATTTAAATTTAAAACCAAATTTAAAATTATTGAATACTACAACAAGAGGTGGAGAAAATGGAGACAGATCCTCCAGCCTCCACCTCACGGGTACCCCAGCCAAGCCGGAAGCAAGCTCCTCGACTGTGAAGACTCGGAGGAAGAACTGTTGTCAGAGCAGGATGGGAAATACCCTGTCCCCTCTACAACAGGGGTATGATGGGTTATAGACTGTGTGATGACTCAAGGAAGGGGGCACAATAGATCTTTAAGACATGTAAAAATAATTAAAGTTCATTTATTTCTTTCAGTTACCTTTCTCACCTGGTATCTGCCAAGATGTCACAGGGCGAACCCCACAAATACGCCGGTATTCAAAGCAAATGAGAGCACTACTGAGAGCCTAAGGTTTCATCCTTGTAAAAATAAGTTATGTCTGATCACTCTGGGATCTTGGACTATATCTTTTTACAGGCAAACAATACGCAATGATGTCTATGAAGGTGGTAGTGGCCAATGTGATTAGGAATTTTTGGATATCATCCAAATATCGCTCAATTGATGAGATGGAGATGAGAGGCCTCATCACAATGAGGACAAAAGGCGATATTGACTGCCATTTCACACCTAGAAATTAAACAACATTAATGTTATTATTGTTACTTTGCAATCAATAAAAATACAAAAATAAATGAATATAGTTTTGTGATATTGTCAACATTTTTTTTGGGACATACTATAAAATTGTTCTCATCTACCAGGTGGTGCATCGTCGTTGGAAATATAGGAAATCCAATGCAAATTTTGAACAGTTCAAATATTGGCTCCCCTATTGAAATTACAGAGAAATCGTAAATGGATTTTGAGTAATTTAAGAAAGATTGCATCTATTTTTAAATTAAAACCGAACAGGTAACAATCAAAGACCAGTAAAAACTGACATACCTTAGATTTACAAATTATGAATTAACGGAAACATGTCAGACACACTGTCTAAGCTATTTCCGCGTAATATCATTTTATCATGCTCACTCTTTCTTTATGTGTATAACAATAAATTATTACTAGTACTGAATATTAAAATTTTGTTAAAATTATGTTACGTTTGAAAATGACGTTGACATCGTAATGTCGATTTTTGACTGGTGTTTAATTGTTAGCTATTCAGTTTTAATTTAAAAATCGATTCTAGTCCAAAATTGTTCAAATTTAGCATGTGCGTTTACCAAACGTAGACCTTAAAAAATCTATTTATCACTTCGCTATAAAATCAATAGGAGAGCCATCAATACAGTTCAAAATTGGCATGGGACTTCCTATGTTTCCAACGACGATACACCACCTGGTATAGAGATTAGGGTTGACAAATAATTAACTAGATATAAGGTTTGTTCCCACAAGGATCCAAACCGGTCAGAAACTTGTCAAATGTAGTTGATCACACGTTCCAAACGTCCGAATTTACTCGGGGATGTCCGGATTTTTAAAGTGTCCGGGGTGGACCGGCCAGGATTTGCAAAATCGTCCGGGAAATCTGACCGCAAAAACAATTTAACTTAGTAAAATATTTTAGAGTTACAGTTGAATTAATTTCTCCAGTTACTTTGTTGAATATTTTAGTTTCTACAATGCTACATTTCTACTTAACCGACGCATGTTCGAAAATACCCATTTCTATACTATGGTGTCCAAATACTTCACTTTTGGTGCACTCCTGGAAAGTGAATGTTTTTTTTTTGGTTATACACAGAAAAAAATAACTTGGCGTAATTAGATAAGATTTATTATCTGATGTGTAATTTATTGAATTATATGTGTATTTTTTTTGGATTCAGATAAAGTAGTAGTCAAATTTACTAGATACATTATGCACAAGAATCATTTTTTTCTTCTAACACAATATTTTGTCACTCAAACTTTATTTGAATTAGATTATACAACTTACTAATAATTATTAAAAACACATAAATCGTTTGTTTATGTTTATTAATTTTAATAGTGTAGTTTAACGAAATAGGACCTAATTACTTTTAAAACAAGTGTTGTTTAGTACTATTGTCTTGTTTGTGTAGACCTGACAGAAAACTTTTTTATTTGACTCAAATTTATTTTATACCGTTTGTGTTTCAATACAATGTTTTGTTAGAGTAAGACATTATTTTGGTATAAAACAATCAAAAAACTTGCAGACGAGCGTTTGTGAAATTATTTAACTTAAATAAGTTGTAAAATACGCTAGCACTCTAAAAAACATACCTTATGTATCCGAAAAAATAATTTGTTATGTTAACAAATTAATGTTTGAATTAGACAAGGTTCTAAGCCACCCCAGATAGTGATACGGAATAATGGAGGCTATTTATTTTTATGCTTAAGAAAAAATATAATTAAACCAGATCGTAACTTCTGTCAGTCTTTTCGTTATATGCTATTATTTTAGGCATTGCGTCATTTATTTCCATCTAACCATCGCAGCATTCGCATCATATTTAAACATTTAATTTGTGTTGTGAAGAAATTTGATCGTTTTACCAAAGTCTATATATTACAATAAATAGAAAGAACCAGTCTATATTAAAAAGTATAAATATAGACTTTAGTTTTACTGTGTCAAATGTGTAATTAGGTAATAATGGAAGAAAAGCAAGATTATTGATTGAGTGGGACCTCGAAGAAATAGTGAAAGATTTTGTGGGTAAGTAATTTCCAATTTTATTCAGATGAATATTATAATTTTACGACTAATGCAACATAAAACGATAAATGCAAAATTCATGAATTCTAACTTTTGGTAAATTTCAAGGCAGGTTTATACAATATATCAATGGTTCTAATCATAAGAACATTTATAAAATCAAGCATTTCTTACCGACCTATTTATACATCAATCATAATATTATCAATAGCCGTCCATAGAGAAATTTTCATGTTTTTCACACACAGATAAAATCATCCCTGAAATTACTCGAATAAAATTTTCAGATAACTCTGTATAATAATATATGTATAATAGTAAATTATTTCCAGGTGGAAAATGATTTCCTTCCCTGATCATGCAATGAATTTATTTAAATAGAATATGCAAGTCGTGGCAACTTTTCTAAAAACAATGCAATAAAGAAACTACTAAACGAGTTGACAGATGATATTTCATCAGGTAATATTATCTATAAAGTAATTAAAGTATCCGAAATTTAATATTTTTGTATTTAATTTTTTAGGTGCTAGAGCTAACATTGTTATGCAATTACTGGCCTATATTTTGCCAACAATAAGTATCCGAAAGGAAAAACCAGCAGTACATTGGAAGATACCTCGCTTAGAAGTTGCTGAAGGATAACCATAAACCCTGAATCTACATATGAACTTTCTCTAAGTACGCATGTGTCTTCTCTAAGTACGAATGTGTCTGCATCTACCCTAGCAAATTTTCTTTTTTGGTTTAGCAAGAAACTTCTCTAATATAGGTGGTAAATTAGTTCCCTCACACCAAGATATTATATACACTAGCATGTTTATTTTGTATTTGATAAAATAAAAGTATTTACTACAACATGCGATTTTCTAAATTAGTACTTCTTTCTATGTAGCTTAGTGAATTATCTCCTCATTTTTTGATAAAACGTTTGTTGATCACACACAACTATATTTTTCATCTGTTTCCAACTACTAAATTTTCTTTTCTATAATACATAATATTTTATTTGAAAGAACTAACGACTTCCTTTCAAAGACAAAAATGTTTATTAATTCATAATAATTAATATTTATAAATTACATAATAGGGTTATTTATATTAGGGAGAGAAATTCTTGTCAAAATATATTTAGATAAGGTAAATTAGGATTTGTCTGTCCCTATAGTGCTTAAGTATTTTATCTAATCTATACAAGTTTTTTTTTCTGTGTATTTTGTTGATTACGGGGCTATTATTTGCGTCGCTAAAAAGTTAATAAATTCGTAGTTTCTTTTTTGAGACATCCGAATGATGTTCAGATTTCAGAGTTCATTTGTCCGTAATATCCAAAAGCCTTTATGGAAACCCTAGTCATAGATATGTCGTAAACAAAAAACAGACTACTAATTCGGTTAACTATCTTGGACAGTTTTCTGATGCTGTGGGAATGAACCCTATAAACGAACGAAGCTGAAACTAAAAATGTAACGGAATAATATTAAACGTAAGAGCATAGTTTTTTACTTTGTGACTTTGTAACTGAGATGAACTAGCCTATTTAAAAATAAACATATTTCTTTAAATTCAAAACATTCAGTTTTAAGACACTCTGTATAGATAAATAATTATTGATTTTTAGTATTGAAAATACTTCTGGCCTTGTTTATATGGGACCCATCTTTGAAAAAACGACATGCTAGAAGCGACATGGGTTCAATAACCTGCCTGTCAACACGTATTTAAGTCGACTGAACCGGCGGATAAAGAAAGCGATATTATTTTAAACGAAAATATGTCAAGGCATGGGTTGCTAGGTGCAGTTTGGCTCTTTTAATCTAACTATTTCCGTATGAGAACCAAGGGGCAAATTATACGAGAAAGAGCAGAATCAGACAAATAATAAATTTAGACTAACTACCATATTTTTTATATGATTATTATTTTTTTAATTAACAACTTAGGACAAAGAAAAAGCTTTCATGGTTTCCACCACCAACAGGCGTTAAACAAATGAATCCAAGGGGTTGCTAAATATTTATTGGGATAAGTTGATAAGTTTTTACCGTTTGAATATTGTTGTAAATAATAATTATTATCATTTAATTAGTGCTAACTTATCAAAGTTCACAACACGGCGAAATTTCAACAAAATCGGCCAACGGATCTTTGAGATATTAATAAAAAAATGTCTATTAGGAAACATCTTGACACCCTGTATCTTTAAAATTGTGCATTTCCGGACATATGTTTATATTAACTTTTTACCTTAAAAACACTCAAAGAATCACCTCCTGAAGTTGGCAAGATACTTAATTAACACCCTGTATTTAAAAATGGCTAGTTAGTGATTTTGTAAGTAAAGCTATGTTTAATTTAATAGAAAAAAAATACATTTCATAAAAAATAAACAACCCATAATTCAATTACTATACACTAATTAATTAATTTTAAATTTATCTAAATAGGCATTTTAATAATTGAAAAATGGACATGAGCACTTCATAGATTATACCAAATATGTAAAAAAAATCCAATTAAAAAACCACAAATGGCACATTAAAATCTGCATTATCTGAAATCAAACTATAGGTACCTAAACCTAAACGGCCAATCAGCCAGACAACAGTGACAAGACGCCGACATCGATAACACGATGAGCAGTTTTTAATAATTATTCCGAGTTAATACTTCAAGTAGCATTCCTTCAAATAAATTTTAATTTAAGTATTGTTAATATAGTCATATTAATGATTATAGCCTGTATGATTTCTAAAATAAAAAATCAAGCGTTTTTTTTATCAGAATAATTATTAAATGATTAACCCTGCAGTACACGCGGGCAAAAAAGTACCGAAGGTAAACGCGGTTATCTGAGAGATACTTATTGTTTGTAAATTAAAAATTGAGTGACTGTAAAATGAAACATCATTTGATATTGTAAATTTTATTGAATAAGTGAAA